CTCCTCTGATTGTTTACCACCATTGCTCAAGAAAACATATGAGTACTTCCCATAGTGTAGTAGATTGAAACACTGCTACTGTCACAATCAGCAGGTAACGGAGGATTGGACCACAGCTGCGGATCAGTTGCGTGTAGGCTTTATGGGATTGGGTCAGTCAGACGGCTCACTAATACACCAAGTGCGATGGGGAGCCGTTACACATCATGTATCCCAGCCTAGAATTAAGGAAAGGTAAGAACCGGTGTACCACTACCAAGTTCTACCTGTAGGTATTAGATTCACGAATAAGGGGGTCTGATGGGACTGTAGTCCGCAAGCAAGCCTAAGTACATAGTTACATAGTATTTGAGGTTGAATAAAGACATTAGTCCATCAAGTCCAACCTATTAGGATCTCATTCTAGGAGTACCCGTACCCCTGTATATTACCTGTACCCCTGTATATTACGGTCCCTTAAGAAATCGTCCAAAAGTTTCTTGAACAATTCCACATTATTTGCTGAAATCACCGCCTGTGGCAGTGAGTTCCAGACCCTAACTGATCTTACTGTGAAGAACCCCTTTCGCCCCTTGTGCTGGAATTTTTTTTCCACCAATTTTAGGTGATGGCCTCTAGTTTTTGTAACGGAGTTAATTTTAAACAGTTTATCGCTAATGTTGCTACCACCATTAAACATTTTGTACATGGAAATCATATCCCCCCTTAATCTCCTCACCTCTAATGTGAACATGTTTAAATTTAGTAGCCTCGTCTCGTAGCTCTGGTCCTCCATACCCCTAATTAGTTTGGTTGCCCTTCGCTGGACTTTTTCCAACTCAAGGACATCTTTTCTTAGTACTGGTGACCAGAACTGGACCGCGTACTCCAGATGAGGTCGAACCAATGATCTATAAAGTGGCAAAATTATAGACTTGTCTCTGCAAGTACGCACTCCTGGTATATACAGTCCTATGAAGCTCCTATTACTATGGTTAGCAATGTAACAGCTCTAATGCTCCGTCAGTATAGCTAGTAACAACTGGAGACACTACTCCACAGCGGTATGGATAACTTTAGGCAGAAGCACAGGCAGACAATACTCCAGCAATATGTTCAGCAGTATGAATCAATTTAAGCAATAGCACAGACATGCAATATTCCAGCAGTATGATTCTATACTCCAGCAATATGTTCAGCAGTATGAATCAATTTAAGCAATAGCACAGACAGGCAATATTCCAGCTGTATGGTTCTATTTAGGCAAAAGCACAGACAGGCAATACCCCAGCAGTATGGGTCTATTAGGCAAAGCACAGACAGGCAATACTCCAGCAGTATGGATGGATTTAGGCAATAGCACAGGTTGTGGTTCTCTATGTTGAGAAATCGCTCCTTCCTGCAAGGGCTGAGTGGCTCTGTAGTGGTGGGACGTGTCCCAGAGGAGATCCAGGCTGTGGAGCATGGGGAGCCGGTCGGGTTCAGTGGAAGCAGCGGAAGACAATGCTCGACGTTCCACATTGACTGAACGCCGAGTGATTGCCTCCGCTGCGGTTATGAGAGGAAGCCGCGGTCAGGGGGCGGAGCCCCGCATGACGTCACGGCCGCCGCGACGCGTCGCTGGAGAGGCCGGAGGTGCCGGGTGCGAGTGTGACAGCTACACAACCTGTTTCTTGCAAAGGATGCTAGGATTGCTCTTGCCAAAACTGGATCATGAAGTGGATTTTAAACTGACGAACCCCTAAATATTATTTGCCTATGGCTTTTTAATGGTCTTTTTGTTGTTTAGATGAAGCACTGAGATCTTGAGGAATGCTGAATTAACTTTTACTAGTTTAGAAGGATATTACATGTGAATACAGCATTGAAAAGGAAACATATATAGAAAGGAACGTCCTGTGTATCCTAGATAAGCATGTATATAGAGAGACTATCATTGCACTACACTGCCACCTACAGCTCAAAACGGTATACAGCCGAACGTCAGTAATACATTCAGTACATATCAGCATATGCTGAATGTAACACTTTTGGATATAATTCTTTTCACATTCTCCCTTTGACCAGGCTTGATGAATAAGGACAGTTCATTG